ATGAGTAAATAACATAAACAAGTTTACATAAGGCCATTACAGGCTTTTAACGCTCATAAAATGTCGTACGACAGTACATATATGCACAATGAACCCAACCACAAAACAAAGCGAACAGACAATAACAGAAAACAGCATCCGCCGCGCCGCCAAGACGGAGACTACCACAACAATGCGGGAATACAAGTGAAATGAAACATAATTTCAGGCGCCAGTGGCGCTTTTGCTACGTCATTGGCATCACAGGCTTTCGCAATTCCTTGCTTTAACGCTTGTTTGCACTTAAACGTACAATACATACATGCATTTACACACATGCTCGTATATGTATGTATTATCTTCCATTAACTTTTCATTTTTTCAATAAAACGATGATTCCGCTATGTAACGGGTATTTTTTTTTTTCTGATTGTAGTTCAACCACTCCAAGTCACCTCTGCAACACATAAGAAAAATTCATGCTACTGTCTGTATGTGTGTGTTTGTCACACAAATACCTTCCTAGTGCAAAACAGGCATTGCGGTATTTACAAGCACATACATATTTATATAGTCAGTAGTTGTAGAAGTAGTTGTTGCTGGGTCAACATATATTCCCGTGTGTCTGGCCTTATGTACTTATGTACGAAATATTGTGTTTGTGTGTGTATGTCTATGCGGGGTTAGCAGTACATATTACACGGTTTCACTCGCATTCTGTTTCATTGCTGCCTGCAACGTGCCAGATGTTGGACGTGTCTCTTACGCAACGGGAATGAAAAGTCAGTTTTCAGTAGAATACTTCTAAAAGTGTTTGGTGTTTTACGGCAGCAATTTCAAGTAAATAAAAGTGGAAAGTTAATGCAATTAAAAAGTAGTGAAAATTTGCTTAAGACTGCAGTAAGCGCTTGAGAAAAAAAAAGTTGTATAAGCGACGCTTGAGGCAGCTTTCGTTCAAAGTACGAAATTGGAGCATATATATATAAGTAATTCTCTGGATTAATAAATATATGTAAGGAAATTTTTTTGCGAAGAAAGTAAATAAAGCAAGTGAGCTTTTAAGTTTTATAAAATAGAAGAATTACTTTTAGGTTTTTTTATGAAAAATTGAGATGCAGTGGAATATAACATAGACTTATTGGTCTCAAATTTTAGTCTATGTAGTTTTTAAGTTTTACAGGAAAAGCTATTTCGATTTATGCTTTCAAATCAGCAAAAAAAAAACTAAATTAATGGAAAAAAGCTAAATTGTACGTTTTGAAAACGAACTTCACAAGAAATTTCTGAAAAAAAAATGTTTATGAAATCTTGTTTGAGTTCCGGTTTTTATATAACCGTATATTAAGTTTTTTTATATCAGTCTAGCTTTTATTAATTTTTAATTTGAAGCTTGAAACAAAGCAGAGTAACTATTGTTATTCAGATTAAGAATTTCGTGATTGTTTAAAAATATATTTAAAGTACATATAGGAGGGTATAAAAGCTAAATAAATACATATAAATATCTTTTCGGTGTTGACCGTACAAATATGTATGTTCTTGAAAATATCCTATATAGAATAACAAAAGTAAAGTATTGCCTACATTTAGGCATATTTTAGCAAAGTCGCACACCTTCTCCCGTTTTTAAGTTAAACAAGATTGTCGCGATATACCAAAATGGTTTATAAGCTATGCTTATTAACGCTAAAGAGAGGAAATAGTATTAAAAATGCTTCTTTGGAATATTTACTTAAAAAAAACTATGAAGAGAGAAAACCTACATTAGTAATGATTATATATTTGTAATAAAATTTAAGCACAGATTTTATATAACAGTCTGTTAAAATTTTACAAATCGACTACCAGCTTTTGTGGCTTCTTTTAAATTCAAAAAAGTCTTATCAGCTGAGCGATAATTCTACCTAACTGTTTTAAGTGAATACAATGCATGGAATCTAAACAAATTATATAATTAAAGTTTTAGGGGTGTTCAGTATCTATGTTCACGCAAAAAACCTAGAATAAATAACAAATATAACGTATTGCCTACATTTAGGCACATTTAAGCAAAGTCGCACACCTTCTTTAGCTTTCGAGTTAAGAAAGAAAATAGTGTGAAAAAAATAAAAAAAATATGAAGAGAAAAATGAGATCTAAATCAGAAACAATTTTTTTCTACGTGAAAAAAGTCAGTTTTAAATTTTTTTTAGGAATTTATTAGAATTTTCAATCCAACTTCATGCATTTAGTTTAAGTTTTTCTCTAAAAAATATTTTGCTTTAATATTCCACACTTGTTTTTTTTAACCGACAATGTAATTTTTTTTCATCGTATTATGAATTCTGTGGACATTGAAGCAAGCTTTAAACTTTTTCGAAATCATTTGTTATAAAAGTTAGAGACAAAACTCACAAGTTTTTCAACAATAATAGATAGAAACTCACTGCATAAATGTCATTTTCTGAATTAGTAAACTTTCCCAAACTGATAATTTCTCACAAGCTTCTGCAGTTACATATATTGTCATGCTTTATTGCACATTGAAAACTTATAACGTCACGTTCATTTATTCTTATTTGCCAGCCAATTAAGATCTGTAAACACACAGCGCCACGAGCACAAATCTTTATTTGTTTTGATTATGCCAAAAACAGACTACAATACATACATATACGTAGCTGTATCCAGCATACTAGAAGCTGCAGTATATACAATTTCGGTTGACACATGTGAGTTGGAGTTCACAGCAACGCAGTGGATGATTCATAACCCAATAACCTAAATACAGTACTTCTAGAAATGTTGTTGTAGGTTAGGGCAGGCAATTTGTATCGCAAGCATGCTGAGATAAAAGCGGTTACAATAAAAGTTGTAAAGAAGTATTATTATATTAGCATATGTTTGCGGGAGTTTAACATATGGTTTAAAAAAAATTCGAATTTTTTTTTGTATGTTATATATGTACATATGTGTGCTGAAAAAGCCATAGAAGGTGCGCTTATTTACACATACCACGCATAAATTTCGAAATGTATATACTTATTTTACATATAAGTACGCAGTATCAGTTTACACTTTGCGTCGGATTGCATTGCCCAACACCGCTTTTCTTATTTACCCCCATTTGTGTGCTGAAATTTTCGTTCAAATGCAAGCAAACTGTATACCAACGCAAAGTTTATTGATTTTTGCACCCGCTCATGAGTATAGCACGCGCATTCACAATTGCTAAAAGTGCAAACGTAAGCGTAAATTAAGCTTTTATTGTAAATTGCAATGTCAGAAGTGGAAGTGCAGCGCAAGAATAGACAAAAGAGTGTGATAAACATCTGATTGCGAGCCGGCATGACGGAGGTTGCATCTATAAACATATATGAATGTGTGCGTGTGCTTTATATACGACTTCAGTAATACATAGTTTTGTCTTAGAAAGCACACAAGTTGACAATGAAAATCATGAATAAAATGTGAAAGTAATTTATAAGGTCACAAATCATAGAACTTAGTTAATTAAATTTTGCATGAACACTTGAAGCTAATTTAGGATATTTTAGGAGAGATGTGAGATATTCTAGACAAATTAAAGAAGTGAAAAAAGTTGCAAAGCAGGAAAAAATCATGATAAGAATTGAAAAAATTTAAAATGTATTAAAACCGGCCGAAATGAGAATTCTATGTTACGTATACGCCATGCAGGTCGGTTAGGCCGTTGCAGAAAAATGCAAATTGTCGAAGATCCGACTTTGACCCCTATCATTTGTTATATATGTTTCACCGGAAAGTGTTTTACATCGTTAAAATAAAAGCAAACGTAGTTTTTAATTTTTTTAAGAATTTACATACATACAAGTATGTAGTATAACTAATTCCAAGGTCTTTAATAAGCTCATTATAATTACGAAATTCGAAGGTAAATATTTCGATCTTGGAAAATAATTTCGAAAAACGCAGAAATTTATTTTATCCATGTGACTCAATCTCTCAAAAAAAAATCTTTTCAATAATCTAAACTTCGAAATTCGAAGAAAAATATTTCGATATTCGAAAAATACTTTCGAAGAACGTAAAAAATTGCTTTTTTCTTAAAAAAGGTTTGAAAAATCGATTTTGACATATAGACGCATACGCCATGAATTTCTCTTTTGGAAGTACTTGAGGAGTGTCTTTTCATTATTACTTTACACTTTTACATTATTTACATTTTTATTTATTATTTAACTAAGTATGCAGTCTTGTTCATAGTTCTCATATACACAATTGCGTCACATAGATTACGATCTAAACGAGGCAGTTTCCAAGTAAAAATTATTTAAATGTGAGTGTTACGGGACATTTTTACATATAAAAATATAGCTTTGTTCATTTCATAACATAACGTTTTCTCATTTTGTGCAAAATAAGTTATGATGTACATAGATATCCCTTTTTGAAAAGACACTCCTCATTTGCATATTTATAATTAACTTTTTTTAGCCAATTTTGCGGATTTTCGGTACGGTTTAAGGAATTTGGATAATTTTTAAAATCATGATTTGTTTGAAAATTGGCCTAAACGAGTAGCGTTTAACTCCAATTTAAAGCTTTATACATTTCGATATTTTGTCAGAGCTTTTGAGCTTTAGCAAAATCTATATAACCAAAATTAGTATGCGGATAATAAAAGAGGTAGAAGAAAATAATAATAATAATAATTGTAATATAAACATAATATTTGGATTCCACATATGTCGTGTATTTCTATTTAGAGGATTTCCATATGTTTTATCAAGCTTTTTTTTTATACAATGTTGGTGGTTATTGCTGTGATTTAAAGCATTTTGAGTATTTTTCGAGATCATTATTACTATGAAAATTGGACTAAACCAATAACTTTTATATGGAGATTTAAATACTTTCACATTTTGCGCTTTATATTGCAGAATTTACATATATACATATACAAACATTTGAGTATGTGAAATACGAAAACACTTTAGATTTTCTTACAATAATAATTTATAGAAATCAAGTTTTAAGAGGTAGATGGTTTATGTACTCACCCATATGACGAAGCGTTCCTATCACGCATATTTAGTTACGTGTTTTCTGTTGTCTCATTCTTATGATGTCATGCTTAAATTTAAACTCTTTTGATCTTTGATGAATTTCATAACACTACTTTACACACTATATTCAAAGTATTTTTACGTAGCTTCTAAACTAAACGACACTATCTGAAATTAAAAAAATTGAAAAGCATTAAGAAAACTAAAAATTAGAAATTTTAAAAAATAAAAATTATATATAATTTAAATTCAGAAATAAATAGAATAGGCAACGATTTTTATGAGAGCAGCAGATGGTACAGCGCGTATACGCAACATGGCATTTTTTTTAACTTTTACATGCAATTTTTTATCTCCAAAGCAAATAAATGTAAAACTTTGAGTAAATAATATGCTAATACAACATATCCATAAAACATGCCTTTTAAAGTTATACGCAGTTAAAGTTATGCAACAAAGGTACTGAGTATACATATGGTAGCTTAAAAATTCTGTGTTGCTTATACGCCATGCTATACTGTATGAATGAAGTATTGCACATTTGTTGTATAATTTTAACTGCGTTTAACTTTTAAAGCAGTGGTTTTGTGAAAAAAACATTGAGACCTTATTTAAAGAGCGGCAAATTTGGCACTTGAATATCTTTTTTTCAAAGCGGCAGGTTTAATTGTTTTATACAAAATAATAAAAAAAAACTATGTTATATTATATGAATAAGTAGCATGACTAAGGCACGATTTAAATTGAAAATAAATAACATGTTTACTATAGATATTTCTTAGAGCTAAAAATCTAGTGTTTGTAATCTGCTACAAAAAAGTTGCGTCAAATATATCAAATTATTTAACAAAGCGCCTCCCTTAACATTTTAATATCTTCTTTGGTGTACACATGTATTAAATATCGGCATGGCAAACCTGCTCCACTAAAATAGTATAAAAAGCTAAGTAAAAATGCTAAAAACTGAAACAACACCACTAATACAGCGTTAACAGCCATTAAAAAATTAATTAACCACAAACAATGCATTAAAACCCATAATTAATTATTTAACTATTATATTAAATTTTGTAATTTTTGACTAATAAATTTTTATTTTTTAATTTTTCTCTAATTTTTCTCCAATTCGTATAGAAAATGTTGGCTTGAATCCTCATTTGTTGGCATACGACCACTGGACTCACCGCAAACACCGGTCATCGAGACAACAGCAACCACATTTAGTAGCGCTACGAATACTAACAACAATACAGCAACTAACAACAGCATCAGCAGTCAATATAATAATTATAATTACAATACAAGTAATTCATCATCAAATACATTAACGGCAATAACAACACCAAATAGTGTTGGTGGCATCGGCATCACCACAGCGATAACAACAAATCCACATGTGTTACGCATGAACGGTCTGAGTATCGTTGGCGGTGGTGAGTCCACAATTATGATTTAGGCAATAAATATGTTTTAGTTTACTATGAGCGAGTTGTATGTATACAATTGCCGTAAGTTCCAAAATACACAAGCACACACGCACACACACACACATACATACATGTGAGTGCATATGAAATGTATGCGTTTGCAGCAGCAGCAAAAACCAGCCAACTTTTTCACTACAAAACCAAAAATTTACACACACACACATACTCACATACACTTTGAAGCTAACTTTTCTTATTGAAACTGAAAATATTCTGTAGTGGAAGAACGTTTAGCGTGCGAACCAAAAACACTGTTTGTTTGTTTGTTTAATTTAGTAGTGTGAAAGCGCATTGCAATAAAAACAACAAAACAAGCAACGATATTTGTAGTTGTTTAGCTATGTAGTTGTCATACACACACACACACGCATAACTATATATATATATATATATTTAAATGTATACATTTTAGTGCATTTCATTACACACATACATATAAATATCGTTAATTTGTAGTGTTGCAGCGAAAATTTACAAAATATATATTGAAATTATTAAAATCTGCAATTAGCATGTAAAAATTTAATTTTTACAATTTAAGTGCGCACAAGTAGATTTCGTTAAAATTTTTTTCAATAGCGGTTTTGAGGCATCCTCGTAAGCTACAGATGCTAAAAATGCAAGAACGAAAAATGCCACGGCATTCTTACAATTAGTTTGCACTACTTTTTTTCGATTAATTTGTTTTTAAAACACACACACACCCATATATACATATATACATTAATTAACATTTATATTTATATAACTTTATACATATATAAAATGTATTTAAAATGTATTCTCGATTGTATTTATATGCGTATAAGTTTACCTTAATTTCGCTTTAATGTAAAAACAATAATTAAAAAAAAAATAATTCAAACACAAATGTTGCAATATTATGTTTTAAAATATATACATATTTTTAAATTCAATACATTGAAAGAAATCAAAAAAAAATTGAAAATTTAAACACTTTTTAAACTTAAAAAAAAGTTTCAATACATTAAAATTTTGGCAAATAAAAAAATTTTAAAATTTATAAATTTTGAAATTTTGAAATATCGAAAAAGTTTTGAAAAAATAAAAGCAAAAATTTTAAAAATTTACAAAAAAAATTAAACGAAAAAATTAAAGAACTTATTACCTTACCCCCATTTGTTTATGCTCAAAATATCTACACTTATAATATTTTTATTTAATTTACGCATTTCGCTGAACTTTTAATTTAAATTGTATGTAATTTTAAAAATGTTAATAGTTAAATAATATACATTTATTAGTTTGTATTAAATTTTAGTTTTAACATTTTATGATTTTCTCTTTTCTTTAGCTTTTAAGTTTCGACGATGACAATTAACTTGCATACATACATAATAAACATATTATAAAAATTTTATTTTATTTGTAAAACATAACATGAAAATGAAATAAATACATATTTACGTCCGAAAACAGACTTCTCAATCATTTTACAGTGTTCACAAAAGATCATAATAATTACAAAACATCAACGATAAGCAGTTAAGTGCTGAAAATTAATAGCACAGGTAAAAAATGCCTAAGGTATAGCCTTAGCGCCTAAATGTATGCAATGACTGCTTCTAAACTATGAAATTATAAATTAGTTTTGAAGTTAAAAAAAGTTGATAATAAATAGTTGAAAATTTTAGAAAATTTACTATAACTACAAGATGGCTATTTCCGAAAAATAACGGAAAATGCATCAGAAGCGCATGTAGGTATGCTAGCACTGCTCCAGAATTTATAAAATGCTACCGTTAAAAACTTCAGAATTTTTCGAAATGACTTCACTGATTTAAAAACCATTCTGCTTAAATTTGCTCTAAGATCAATAAATATTCAGCGCTGTGGAATGAAAGAACCACAATTTTTGAATCTTGGCGAAAAAGTTTAGTATCCATATTGAATTTTGTTGGCATGTTTGAATTTACTTATCGACTAGTGGGCGGATAAGCTTTATGTGAGTATTTCCAGCAACCACAAGGAGTCTACAAAAATAGGGAAAGTGTTGTTGTTTTTTTTGTCTGGTCTGGTCAAATTTGAATAAATGCATATCGGTCACGAAAGTGCAAAAATTTTAATTTGAATAAGGCGCAGATAGATCGTCAAAATTGAACTTAAGACTCCACTTACAACTTAGGTGTCGATGATTGAACTTCAGCTTCTTGTATAATAGTTACAACTATATTTGCTTATTAGTTTTTCAAAAATATTTAAAAACGAGATAAGAAAAATTAAATTAAATATTTGTTTAAAATGATATTTTCTGTGCATATCTGTCAAGAATATAATAAGGTTCACGCCAAAAATTAAGCAAAACTAACCTCAAAATAGTTTCAATACAAAAAATGCGATTTCAAATTTTTTCGCAAAAGTTTCAAGTATCAAAAAACATCACGAATTCAATGAATTTTCTATTTTGGCAGAGTTTTAAAATAGACTAAATTCAATGGTCGAAAAAGTTATTAAATAAATATACATAGGTGCTAGTATTGAACATCATATATATTTATGCTTCCACCATTCACCAAACATATTCACAAAATTTTGTAACTAACTCGCATGCATCGATAAACAAATCCACCAATTTACACTCTCCCGCTATTGCGCGCACTTCACATGCAAATCATATCCCAAAAACATCACATTATCATAGGAAAGCATAAAGTTACTTTCAAAGCTATGCAGAAGCATATGTACATAGGAACGTATAACATAACATAACGTGACATAATGTAACGTTCGCAAAATAAGGCAAGCAAATCATTAATATACATTCATTCCACAATCAACTAAATTTTTTGTATGAAAACATTTAATTACACTCAAAAAACGCATCAAAATAAATAAAAAAATTTTAATTGTCGAGCGCTAAAATATTAAACAAATAAACATAACTATGTAACTAACTGCAATTGTATATAAAATCGGACGAAAATTTATGTTTTATTAATTTTTATAATTTAATTCATTTTAAGTTGTTTTAAATAAGAAAATATGTGCATTTTAAAGTTCTTATATTGAAAATAATTTTGTAAAACATAATTTAAAACTTTATAAAAATAGTAAATACATAATTTTCTCACATACATACAAACGCATAACACACTTATATTTTACATTTGTAGTTAACGCATAACTGTTTATTCACATACATATATAGTACATACAAACGCATATAAATTTTTCATTTAAAATGTGTTTTTATTGTGATTGACTTTATTTTCTTCACTAACATATACTAGTAATAATACATACATAAATACCATTACATTTATTTTCATAAACAATATCATTTATAAATACCTACGTACACATATACATAGACATATACGGCGTTTTAAAAACTAAAATCAAATTGTAGATTTCATAAACAATGTAGATTTTTACGCATTTACATATAAAAGTTATTCGATATAAATAAAAGTGTTTACATATAAAACATATTTTTTATATGTTTGTATGAAAATTATTTGTTTTAAACAAAAGTTAATTTCTTTTAATTGGATTCTGATTGGTTTGTTATACTTATTTTTTTTTTTTAATATTACCCTTTGTCTTTTAAAATTCAAGTCTTCAAATACCCAACTTTATTTCACATTTAGTACTTTAATCTCCTTAATTTTCCTCATTTAACACTTTGCTGCATCATTCGCATTTTGCTCGCCTTTATTCTCTTTCAGCTGTTTTATAGTAGTAAGGATGTCGAGTCTCTCTGTGGTTTAGTGAAAAAGAAATTCATTATTTTTGCATTAAATTGATGGTTTTATTTAGCAAAGTTAGAATGAACCGAATCAGGTCAAATATGCACCGTTTTGCTGGATAACCTGTTGCCATTTTGAAGGCAATTTAATAATGTCACTCTCATAGAAACCCACGTCCCGGTTGGCAAAACACTGTGAAAGTCGATTTTCATAAGTTTTTCTTAAGGCGAATTTTTCACCTACAAATTCATTCGCCATAGACAGAAACAGTTAGTAATGGTTGGTTCGAGATCCAGACTACGGTATAATGATGCATAAGAACAACCTAATTGATAGTACAGGTTCGAATTATGAGCTTGGCTGTACGTAAGCAGCTTAAACTAGAGGTTTCATTGGCGATCCCACCAAAGAAAAATCGTTCTGTCCGTCAACTCTGATTTAGCTGGCGTTTTCGCCTGGATCGGAGAAGAACTAAAGCTAAAATATGGCGTATTTACGCATTGCTGGTGTCCATCTTTGACGTGTACTCAAAACATACTGAGTCAAACAATCACAAAAATACTGAGAGGTTTTTTAGTACGAAATCTTATCTTTCTAACCCCATACAGCGTAACCCGATCGCACTTATACAACGCAAGATACAGATTACTAAAGCCAACTGTTGAAAAAATTATGGATTTCTCTTTACTAGACCTAATATATGTTCATCTGTTCACTTTTATTCTGCTAATTCTCCTCTGAATTATGGTACCTTGTGCGATAGCTCTTATATTACGCGTTGCAAGCCTAAAGGTGTCACTCAACAATTTCAACCTAACCTAACCTATAATGTTTCGACATTTTGTGTTCTAGCTCATGGTCAAAGTTTACAGCTTAGACAGTGGCGTCTTTCCTTAAATTTTAAGAAAACTATAATACTTTGATGAAGCTATGTGTGTACTGAGCTCAACATTTATCAACTCTATTATTTTTAATGGAACCATGCCACATATATATATATCTTAAAATAAGTCATCGCTTATAGCTAGATATTCAACGTGGACTTGGTGTCTAAAATTTGTATTTCGCTCTTATACTAAGTTGTTGTTGTTGTAGCGGCAGAAACCATTCCTATAGTAATTTTGAAGTAAACCGCCGAGTTAACAGTACTTGGCCGAGTAAAAAACAGGGTCGGCTCTAGTTACTTAAATCCAAATGTCATGGAAACGAGTTCTATACTAAATTGTCAGTTGCTGTCCAAATAAAAATAAACAACGGCATAACTAGTATGAGAAGGAGTGCCGAGCAAACAATCTTGCAAGGTTAGTTGCCAGAGAAGTGCTTGGAACAACTATTTGCTGCTACAACCACAATATTTTGCCATCAATATTAAACACTTCGCCTTATGTGCGCCCTGCTTCTTATACACATCTAATGTTGTTTCTCGATTTTTTCGATTTAATCCTTCTCCAATTAGAGAAAGCTAAAATTTATTGGCTACGAACGACAAACGGCGGGAAAATGTAACATTGCCATTTTTTTGACATTATGGTTCTCAAAAATGTGTTCGTACTACATAGCGACTCGATTAAGACTTGGCTAAATTCCCGTTAGACCCGATATAACATAACCAAAATTTAAGAATTATTTGTACAGAGTCTGGATGAGATCTTTAACACATAAAGTATACTTTTATAACTCTTTATAATATTTTCTATGATAAACACAAATCATTATAATTAAATTTAACAATTAGATATTTAATATTAAGCAATTTGTTATTGATTATTCTCAACTTGCACTATATCTATAGTATAGATGATGTCTTTAACTTCTAGTATTTATTATATTATAATTTAATTCAGCACATAACTTAACAGTAGCTATTAATTGCAACTAAAAACCATATTGTATAAATTTTTGTGCCACTTTCCTTAGAACACCTTTACCACGACCCGAACTAGTACCACCTACTCAACGCTACCTCTCTTCCTCACGTATATACTTGCGTTTTTAGTACGATAAAACTCAATTTAAACATTAAAATTTGCTGCGTTGCTCAAAGCTCCTACTAAATCATAAATTAATGGAGGATTGAGTCAGACTTAGACCTCATTAGTAGCTGTCATTATTGACAGTCAGGGTGTATTCCATGTGTTACTGATATTTTGTATATTTTTCTAAGATATATAGTTGGCAGTATAATTATTTTTATTAGAATTTAATTAAGTACATATCTTAGGCTAAAAAAAAGAGTTTTACAAAAACAATTTAAATATATATGCGTTTTATATTCTCGTTTCTTTTTTCTTGTTTTTTACCACACCAACATTACTAATGCTAACAAAACTGAAAATCCCACCAAAAAAAAAATTTTTAAATTTTAAATCCATCATCAATCAATGGCGGTCAACAAATATATGCTACATACATACATATATATGCCGAAATATGTACGAAATTAACAATTACCTTAAAAAACCACCGTATTTTCCCTCCTTTGCATCCCTCAAATTATAAAAAAAAAATTGACAAAAAACACTCATTTAAAAAAAATTTGCTCGCCATCAAAAAACCAAAACGAATCTCATCGCAATTCTAAAATTTAGCGCCAGAACGCTCGTTGAGCACCGCATCGCTAGAAGATGTCTTAGCTTCACTTTTAGGACTGCCATCGTCGTCAGCGTCGTCCAGTGGTGGAGTGCAGGGCGTGAACGTGGGCGCTGGTGCGGGTGCAGGTATTGGCGCTAGCGTCGGCGTCGGCGTCAACGTCAACGCGGGGCCATCCGCCACAAGTGATCCATACGCTAGGTCCACGACGACAGGTATGAACCTGTAAGTTTTCTTCCATCACAAAAATATACTCGTACATACAAACATATGTAACTACTACATACTCGTATTCGTATTCGTATTCGTATTTATATAGACATTTAAGCGAAACTACATCATCATTGCGGCTCACAATCGTACAAATTGATATATAACTACATACTTGTAATCATGCAAAATCAAATAATTAGTTAGAGAGTTTTGAAAATATATAGCATTAATTTATTTGTAAATTCAAACAAAGTTCGAAACATTTTTTAAATTTTTTTATATATAATTATTTACGATTTGTTATTGTTGTGTTTCGTTATAAGTGTTAAAAGCTGATATATATTGGGCTATATTATTTCGCTATATTTACAATATAACAAAACTATTTAAGGAAGTTTTAAATATTTATTATTAGTATTTTATTTAGTGTTTTGATTTTTGAAGAAAATAAAAACAAAAGATATAAAGAACGAAGGCTTACTTTAAATACAAAACAAAAAAAAAAAAATAATAATAATAATAAAAAAGAATAAAATTCAAAGAGAACTCAGAGCGATAAATCAAAAAGCGATGATTTTTATAATTAATAATTTAAGAAAAGGCAAAACCTATCATGTACCCTTTAACTTCTTATTTTGTTTCATTCATGGCTAGTCTTAATACATTTTTATTAATCCCATTTCATTACTTATTTATTTTTTATTTTCACTTACTTTAATTTTTTTTAAATTTATCATAATCATATAGGGAAATTTACAAAATAGCAGAGGTAATTAGTGACGAATCATAAGTGTAAAATAATTTTTTATGCCTCATAAACTAAGTCAATGGATTTATAAACATAAATTATTCTTAATTATTTTTACTATATTGTTTTATAAAATAAAAAAAAAAAAATAAAAAAATTATTTGTGAAGCAGGATTTCTTCAAATATTGCAAATAGAAGATCCGCTTTTTTCATTACAAATTTTGGGAGTATCCACTTTCGAAAGATCACTTATGAGCTCGAACCAAATTTTACAATAATTTTTTGGAAATCGAAATATACTTAAAAAGGCGATTTTTGGGAATAAAACAAAAATGCTGTAAAATTTTTTTTAAAACCTTAAGGGCATATTTATAACATTTTAACACTCGTACTACGTACGTACGTTCAAGCTGTCCAAGTGTGATCGACCTTTTAATCCAACCTAACACCCGTACTCTGTGCACTTGAGAAATTCAACAACTTGCTATGCATTGATAGCTACGGTCTACAGTAGTTTTGTTGCCCTAGATATGAGATTGATTTTGCATACATACATATGTTATGTGCTCACTATTTATGACAATATCAGTGATATTGTAAGATTTGCTGTCGTTTATTTTGAAATCATTATTCTCATTTTACGTTACAGTAATTAGAAAACAAGAAACAAAATAACAAATATACATATATAAAAGTCAGTTTAGAAAATAAGTATGCATCGAAGCAAACAGAGAGGCAAATGTCGAAAACATGTATCACTTATATCAATTAAACGCCTATTTTGAAATTTTCTATTATAATTTTCCAGCTGACAATCGCTTTTTAAGAATCAGCAATAATCTCCCATAATGTGACAATCCCATCAACTTTGTCGCCCTTCTTACAACATTTTTCGATACTAGTGGAACCGCTTTCACTCTTATCTCTCATAATAACAATTATATTATATAATATATATAAATTGAATTATATGTATAATATATATATAAATTGCCAGATAAATTATCCACATGATTGCGAATATAGTCTAACGTGATACTCAAATTTTTCACTTAGTATCTTAAAGTTTGTTAGCATATTTTGCAAAATTTCTTAATAGTTTGTTGTTTTATGGTTATGTAGAAAAATCACGACTATCAGCACTAAACTTTTCCAACCTTCACTTCCGGAACAGTCAAACTTTGATAATAATCTGTACTTTTGATGCGGTGCTGTATTTGCGGACCAACAAACAGTCCACCTTTTAAGTTTTCCATACCAAGCTTCGGAAATTATCTACCAATTATTTTATCGTTTCTAAATTTATCACGTATTATATCGATAAGTTTATTTTGAAAAAATAACTTTGGTGTAGATGTTTCACCCTACCTTTCACTTCACTGATACATTGTACTTCTGAGATTGTATTTCTGATTTGGGTATATCATTGCTTCAGAGCGCATGCTAATTACTTTTGAAACGCAAAGAGAAATTTATATTGAATAAGACTGAAAATTTAGTAGACTGTAGGCTTAAATAACTCCAAGTTTGATTTTTAATAAACCTTCGGCGTAATTTTTCGCATATTTTCGGTAAAGATAGTAAAGTGGAAATCAGTTAAAGCTTAAACGCGTGAAATTTTTTATTAATTTATTAATTTTATTATTAATAAGCCTGTATTTGCTCAAAATATAAAAAACGCGAATATTACAAAAACAAGAGCTCATTCAATACTTTCATGAATAATCGTGTGTTCGTAATCTGAACACTTGAAACCATCGATATTTGTTAAGATATCCAGGGCTACAAAAAAAAATAATTTTATAAACCTATGTAATTTATCAGGACTTTTCTATTCTGTGTCATAGTAAAAAGCTATTTTCTTGATAAATTGTTAAAATGTCAAATGCTTGACAGTGCTTTTTACAAATAGAACATTTGTTTTACTTTTTTAAAATCAATTCGCTAGAATGGCAAACATTTTAAATTAATTGCACGCATTACTAAAGTAATTTACTAGATGTAAGTGATCCATTTTAATTTAGTGTTAATGCGTTTGGCAAAATTGTCTTTTGACGTGTTAAATTTGCCGTCGTCTCATTGACGACCAAAAAACTATAAGAATTCTGGCAGCTTTAAACTTCTTTGCACACGGCTCATACCAAAAATGTGTAAGCAACAACAAACAAGCTGAAATCAGCTGTTTCTGTTTACACAATTTTGTTCACCACACGTGTGGAGAAACACGCTGCATTCTGAGACTTTATATTTTATTAATATTGCCATAGAATAACAAAGAGTTTTTTACTTGATAAAAATCTTGACCAATTGTCAATATTTTATTAATTTGTCAAGTGCACAGATAAGAATACAGTTTTGAAAAAAAAATTAAATATTTTTCGCCTTACACGCGTTCTTCGACGGTATTAAAAAAGGGCCTCCACTGCTGCAGTGACTTCGGCCTTCGCTGTAGATGAAACCTAAAAGCAAATTCTCTCTAGAAGTTGTTTCTTTGCTTGCCAAATCAGATTAAAAAAGAAATGTTGGGCCATTGCATGGAGAACTATGTACAGAACATGCAGAAAATTTGGATAGTGATCGGCTCATTTGTCTTTGAGTAGTCAAATTAAAAAAGAAACTCATAGAGTTGATTGAGTTGAGCGGTTACACTTCAAAAGCCAGTGACTCAAAAAAATTTTAAATATTCATTTGATTTTTAGTATGGTAGTTTTAAAGGAAGAGCCTATCGAAATGAGCAAAAAATTATATTTCTTTTTAAAATTTCACACTATGTGGGTCCTTTGACCAGAATGTAAATTCTTAAATCCTTTTCTTTCTATGTTCTTAAACAATTTCTTTTTAAAAATTAACACTTTTAAAATTTAAGTATTGTACTGTTGGTTAAATTTATTTTCGAGCATAGTTTCAAAAGCCATTAGAACTTTTTAAAAATTAAAAAAAAATTCACAAATGACTCAGCAACTCCTTATGAAAATTTGCTTTACATATTTCTGTTGTACTAATTTGTTTTCATTCGTATTGTAAAATTTGAGGTTAGTGACGAGTTCATAGTAATGCCGCTTTCCAGGTTATATTTTATTTATTTTTTGACTTTATCTTTTACTCTTTTGATGATGCAACTTAAGATCCTCAAGTTAGCAGATAGCTGATTAGATTGCTATTTAAGACAGGATTAGTCAATTAGGAGAACCAAAATGATAATCAAAAATTTATATAAATAAAGCAAAAATATATATAATTGAGGTTACACATATTTAGTAACATATACATCAGCTGAGTTTTGTAAAAAAAATTTAAGAATCTGTTTTTTTATTTTTTCAAAATATTATTGTCCTTGAAGAGAGGTTTTTAATGAAAATATCGAACGCTATAAAGCAAGTAGTACGACTGAATCCTTCCAAGCATGCTCAACTCATTCCTACGCGTTACAAAAAAGAAATAAAAAACTCCTGTGAACTTGTGCTTATAAAAACTTTTTGTTCGATTTTTCGTTGGGAATGCCTAGACGTTGTATTGCATTAGAAGTTACTTAGCAAATGTTTGCGCTGTTAAAGAAAGAGTTACAAATCAAACAGTTGCCTCAATCCAGCACATTCTCTTCTCATTCGCAGGCGATTCAGCTAGTCAGTCCCTGGTAACATTCCGTCATATGCCGCAGCAGCAACAACCACCACAAATTCCCCAATCCCAGACGCAACTACAACAATCCCAACAACAACTACTGCTAGTACAACTACAGGCCGAACAGCAACGCCTGCGTCGACGCAGTGAGGGCGATGCACCGCAACAACAAAAACAACAACAGCTGCAGCAGCAACAACAACAACAACAAAATGCCAAAACCAATTCATCAGCCAGCAACAGCATCGGTGCAACGACGCACACCAACATCGTCGGGCACTTCCAAGACGCCAGCGTCAATAACCACAACCACTCGTCCGTCGTCGGCGGCAGTGGCGTTGCAAGCAGCGGTGTCATCGGCGCCGGGAACGCCACACTGTCGACGCGCCGTGTCTCGCTCGGCGACAGTTCCGAGTCCAATAATAAGACCACATCCGAGCTGCAGATCAAGTGTCGCAACACCAAGTGCGATCGTAGCGCCACACCCGCAGACGCCAAAAAGTATTACAAGTCATGCCACAATTGTACCCATCTATATTGTTCGCGTGAATGTCGGCGCGCCCACTGGGAGAAGCACCGCAAAGCATGTCTACACTCACGCGCGTCGAATTTGTGCCGCCAAGTGTTAGCCACTTGTAAGGATGATGTCGATTCACAACGCCATCTCAGTTTGTTGGCACGCAAGGGCTTCCTGTCGCAGGGGCGCGGCGTTGTGCGGGTGCTCTTCCGTTCCGCCGAGGCGGCTGAGAGTTTCATCAAGCACGGCTTTCAGTGTATGGGCGAGGCGTCCTATGTGCGTTGGCCCGATCTGATGCCCGCCGAAATGGGTCTCGAGCTGTACTCGGAATTGCTTAAGCTCAGCACCGAATACAAGCCGGACTCCAAGATGCTCATCTACGTGGCCATATGTGTGGTCAGCGAAGCGCCGGGCATGGGACAGGCGCCAGTACGCTGGGAACGCCAGCTGGTCTCGCGTTGTGCCAAACTGAAACTCTGTAAGAGCATCCTAGCCGAATTGGAGCAACAACAACAGGCGCTACAATTACAACAGCAAATGCAGCCACCGTTGACAGTGGTTGCAGTGCCAGAACCCACCACCGAGATACTCATACTCACATTCAATCCCAGTTTACGCTCGAATAACGGTCAAGGTGAACTCATACTCTCAAATATATTGGATATATTGTCACGGCGTGGTGTGCTCTTACGCAAACATTATCCCGAAATTTATCAACGTCTACAAACTTTCACCGATGGACAAACGGATAAATTCAATCCGGTAACATTGCATCCGCGCGACTCACAAACCGGCAAAAGTTTCGTCTGCATCATTATGCCAGTACATACGTCCGACAGTGATGTCATCAAGCTGCCGTCGGCATCGGATGGCGGCAATCGTGTGACCACCATCGATGTGGGCTCACCGGCTGCATTGGCACAACTAGATGATGACGAGCTGCTCACACGTTCTACAAGTTGATTTTTAAAAAGCAACGGTCGTATTGGTACCAAGAGACGCTCATCGTCGACGGGCTCGACCGGTTCGACGGCGTCGGATCTCTTATTGATGTCTGCAACCGCAGATGGTGCGGCCGCCTCTTTGACGCTGGAAAGTACACGCATGTAGAGAGTGTGACGTTTGCTTCAAGGTCGTATCGGATATAGGAACGCAGCTTATATAGTTTTAAGACAGTTATATTAATAGCTATACATACTGATATACATAAACATGCATATAGTCTTATAATCAATCTCTCTTATAGCCTGATTAACGAACAAAAGAAGCTTCCACTCTTAGCCACATTTAAAGGAACGCATACCGAACTCGTATTTAGACGCCGCACACCGCATACAACATAACTATGAACTTTATACATACAAAGTCTCTTTACAAGTAATCAGGAAATCTTCCACATTTCACTCATATCATGCTAATTTTCGGAAATCGACTAATATTTATGCATAAACATACATACAAGTACAATACCACTTCTTCATATTCGTATTTAGCTAGATAATATTTATTTTATGTGCTTTCTTAGTGTTAAAAATCTGTAAAATTAAGTCAAGAAGTCATGGGTGATTATGAGATAATACACAAATTTGATTCATTAGCAAGCAAAAACCAATAATGTAGAATTAAGTGGAAGGGAAATGGAAAGAAGCGTTACAAAAATATAATCAAATAACTGTTACACATTTTTTAAGCTGGACTGATGTATTAAATATCTCCGTTTGCTCCAAAAATTTTGAAAGTGTACACGGATTTTCAAAATTCTCCAAGTTTCAAAGGAAAAAGAGGCACTGCGTTAAAAAGATTAGGTCTCGGATTATGCGCTTAAGAACCTTACATATGAGCATTCGTCTATGGATACTAGAACTTACAGACCCTATCGATATCACTTACTGATATTTCACTGAAAAACTTCGATTCCCAGCATTAAGTGGTCTTACGTCTAGCCTTACATCCTAAAAATAGAAACCAATCGGATACGAGATGGTTTAACAACCCATTTGCTCTTGCTTCGTGGCCGTTAAACCAAACCATAACACAACCGCACATACAACCTATAACCTGAATTCATAGTACCTTCAAAAAATCAAGTTTAAGGTCTGGGATTGTAAAAACAAGCATTCCCATTGTGATGTTTCAGAAACTCTGAGCAAAATTTTTAAAATGAATTGTCAGAACACCGCTATAGTTTCCAGTCGGATTAACAGAGGGTTGTATTTCCTCAAATACCAAAGGAAAGATGTTTAAGCCGAGTTAAGAGTTTCTTCTTCTTTTTTAGTCACTCGTAGTGTTAAGTGCTGACACCAAAATGCTCAATAAACTCAAGTTTGTGGTGCGATGTGAACATGCTATGCAAGACGTAGAATTCTATGAATTAATTTTTTAAATTTCAAAATCTTAGTTTTCGAAAAACATAGTATTTTATGAATTCCTCCTTTAAATACCAAAAATCCCAGTTTACGAACACGAGAGAGTTCCTCCACTAAGACAAAATTTAATAAGGACTTGATATTTTTGGCGATTATATACATATTGTATAATCGCCATTAAAGTATTTTATTAATACATTTTTAAGGTTCAATAGATTACTTTTATTTTAACTTACTGAAATATATTGGGTAGTTTATAAAATTGAACCGATTTAACGATTACGATTACATAAAAGGCCGCTGTATTATTCGACTACATTTGAAAGCTTTCACCTTATAACATTTTTCAAGTACATGGATAATCCTAATCCTACCCTTAGCATAAACCCCGGATCAAATAATAATTTCTTCAAAAAATATAGTTCTTAATGAGAAACCAAGCTATACCATGGCGACCTAATTGATTTATTATAAGACCACTTAATATAAGATGGGAAGAAGGAAGAGTGAAGAGTGAAGGTGTAACAAGGAGTGTCATAATGACCCTAGAAACTTGCACTAAATAGACACTACGTTCTATATGAAGATCATATAGAAATGAGATTTTTCAGATATAGAAATAATTTTTTTTTTCAGAAATAGAAATCAGATTTCTCAGAGATAGCAATCGGTTATATGCAAATACTTTTTATCGCGTAAGTTTTTTTTGTTAACATGTGAGATCTTCTAAATAATCAAGTGTATGCGAAATGTTTTACACAAAAGGGCAAACACTTAAGAGGTTATATCCACTTGAAAGTGTGAAAAAACCAATTTTTTGTGATTTTTTGAATTTAAAATAATTTAATAAAACGCGATTCATTTTGAAAAATTCTGCATTAACTTGATCTCGTAGTCGATCTTTTGGAAGGCGTTCGAAAAAGTTGTCTGGAGATGAGGAAGATTTTTCTGCTTAAAATTACCCAAAAAACCATAAAAATGTATTATTATTACAGCTGAATACAAGTTATGAACGAAAAACTAGTCAAAAGTTTTTTTTTTTTTTAAATGGCTTGGAAATCGAAATTATTATCAAGAAATATACATATTTTTTCGATCATTACTTGACAAAAACCATATATCTAAAAAGATCGAGTAAAATGCTCAAGTATTTCTAGCTGTTTCGAAAAAAATTTTCTCCCCGAAACGAGTATAAAGTTTTTGAGGCCGATTACACTGAGTTAAAAAATTCTTACGCATTCACTCATATCGCCGAAAGTCTATATACTTGTAATATCTAAGTATTTGCCAGATCAACTTCAAATTGTCGGAGAGTTTTCTCAAATATATGTATGTGCTTTCGATATATATGAAAAAATCGATTATTTGAAATTCACAAGTGGATATAAACTCTTAAACAAGGAACATCATATGGATTTGGGCGATTATGGATGCCAAAATCATAAAAATATTGAAACCAGGCGCTTCAAAATAGTCAAAAAATTGGATTAAAGAATAAATAATAAAATTCGGAACAAACATTACAGTAACAAATTAAGAAACAAAGATTACAAAAAAAAAAAAATTAAAAGCATTCAGGGGTTCGCAAACAATAAATTATAAAAAAGTTCTTGAGCGTTAAAAACATATGTATGTATATCCTGCAGCTTCCACTGAATACGAAGTAATGGAAAACTACCCAAAGGATATAGATAACTGAGCTAGGTTGAAAAATAGCTGAAATTGTAATTTAAAAAAATTGTCAAATCAAAACTTGAGTACTTGAAAAAATAAAGAAATTAAGAACGCATTAGTGGAGACAGCATAAGAAACGCCTTGATGCCGCCAACAAGCGATGAAGTCGACTATTTAGATGCGGTAGGATTTCATTAAATGCATTGTGTAAAATAAGAATAAACCGTTAAAAAGAGAGACTTAGCGAGTAATTAAAATAAATTCTAACATTTCGACGCTTAAGCAGCCGAAACTGCAGCGACCATTGGAGGCATATTTCTATGTTGCGTTGCAATTAAAACGCCTTGCTTTAACTAAACTCATACTCATGCTTACCCATTACGCCTAACTAATGACTAAGCTGACATTTAAACTAGTAATTAATTAAACGAGAATTAACAAAAACACAAAAAACAAGTGAAAATAATAACATTTAAAGTGACATTTAGATATTTACGTAATTTTAAGCAGCTAATGGCCTTATATCGTGAATTCGTTTCAGTCACACACACACACGCACTCACTAACACACACATATACATGCATATATACATATATACATACATACATTGACATTGAACAAAATGAAACTGTAACAAAATTTATTCCTAATTAGTAAAATTTTTTAAAATTATTAAATTTATTTACTTAAGTACATTTTAAGCAAACAACAAAAACAAAAATAAGAAAACAAGAACTTTTAAAGTTTATTAAGCGTAACTATTGTCTTTAGCACTAATTTTGTTTTTGTGTTGTAGCTAATAAATAAGTGTGCTGGTTAAATACATAAATATTTTCCAATAACAAAAATTAATATTTATTGATGACATTATTATAATTATAAACTAAATTTGTAAGTAAATTATTTAATAAATTATGCCAAAAAAAAGTGCATTCTCACAATTATTTTCAACTTGTGGTTGCCTAAGAAAACGTAAGTAAAGTGATTAATTTCAATTTAATCGTTTTAAGCGAAAGGCGTTCTAATAAACTACTAGCAGTTGCCGAAAAGGGTCTCAATTGCATAACGAACAATGCTAGTCAACCAGCACAAGGATCACTCCTCTCAGCCACCAGAAGCTTTATAGGTAAAACCCATGGAAATCACGCACCGCCTAAAACACTTACGTGGGTGATGTAAAGTTCCGCCATTTTGAAAAACAAAACAAGAAGCGTTTCTTTTATCAACTATATGTAGGTGAAGTACTAGGGTCTTATCTATGCTATGGAAGCTCGCATGGAAGATAAATTTCGAGGAAAGAGTGAGGAAGACATCGGTCGCCTTATACTCTTGTATTGGATCGAACTTGCTTGACGGCTGCTTTAAGACTTAGGCAAGCTGGGTATATGAGGGACCCCGAACAGGGACACACAAAAATTCTCCACTGCTTCATTTGCATTCCTTACAATTTAGATCACTGCATTGCAAAACCTGATCCCCGCGGTGACTTCCCGGCCCAAACACCTGCGAGAGATTTGTGGGCGGGACGAAGCCGTTGGAGAAAGGGTGCAGTGATCCTTTTCACGAATGGACCTATGTTAAGTAAAGAGAGAGAGGAGGAGGTGAAGTCTTTTGTCGGGAGCTTCCCATCGAATGTAGTTTCAGGCTACCGGACCATTGCAGCGTTTTCAAAGCGGAGGTGACTGCCATTAAGGTAGCAGTAATTGTACTGCTCCAAAGTGCAGCTTCTTCCAAGAAGGCGTGCACTTACTCCGATAGCCGAATGGCTATACTGGCTTTGAGCTCGTTGACTGTGTGCTCAAAACTAATCACGGAGTGCATGACCACATCAGCAATTGCTTCAAGCTTCCTCCATATTAGACTTGTGTGGATGCCGGGTCACAGCGGAAGCGCCGGAAATAGCAAAACCGATGAGCTTGCTACGTAGGCACCTTTTACCCAATTTCATCCGATTGGAAACGAGTCGGTTTTTCGATGTCCTCTTGCGTTTTGACGAGCTCAGCAAGCGCTGATCAACAACCAGAACTTCTGCGACTGCGAGATTCTTCTGGCCCAGAGTGAACCGTTAGAGGTCCTCCGAACTACTGGCTCTTAGCAAGGTAAACCTCGTCGCAGTTCTAAGTGTTCTGCCTGGACATTATCCAATTGGTTCCCACGCGGTGCGGCCAAATATTTTGTCAGACGCTCTTTGCCAAAGCTGTATAGAGGTAGGCGAGGTGGAATAATCTTGTCACTTTCTTCTCTATTGCCCGGCTTTCGCCAGACTATGATAGATATATGTCGGTAGATACACTTTTGACGGACCTAGCGAGGTGGCTGAGATTGATATTAACCGTCTTAATAAATTTTTCAATCAAGCTCAAAAGGCTTCGTCGACCTATGAGGAGCTGGTGATCTTTTTAGGAGTTTAGGGGTAACACAAAAGACGAATATCTATTCAAGTGATATCCATCGATTTTGGATTAACCCTACGACCTAATCTAAGCTAACCTACATATATACTATATATAATTAAGTCTGAAAACATAACGGCCCACGGCTTGCATCCAACGAAAAAGATTTTGTTAGTTCTTTTCACATTAACAACCTTAAAGTCGTTTTTAGGTTCTTTAATATGAGAAAATAATCTTCTATGAAGATCTACATCTTGATTTTGATCGATCAGTTTGTATGACAGCTATATGCTTAAGTAGTCCGATCTGATGTCTTGTGAAATAACAGTTTTCCATATAAGGACTTTTGATCGATCGATAAATTTGTGTACAGATATATAATGTAGATTGGTCCAATATTGGTGGTTCCCACAAGTTAACATATTAGCTTCTTGCGGAGAAAAGTACGTGTACAAAACCTCAGATCAATGCCTCGAACCGACAGACGCACATGCCTAAATCGACTAGGCTCGTCACATATACATATGTATATGTAACTATACTTTATAGAGTCTCCGACGCTTCTTTCTGGGTTTTCGTGGAAAACTTGATTAGGATAAATCATGGTATGAGTGTGGTGCTACTACTATAACAAGTAAGTATGATAAAAATTTTTGAGTAAAACAGTTATTTATCTAATGTAGTCAGATCGTCTTCATGTTGTATGACTTTTTGATTTTTCCTTCTTTTACGACAATAAAATAGAAAATTTAGTTTGTACTCACCATTTTGCGCAGTGTCGAGTCGGCTCACTTATTGCAAATATTATTAATATATTCTAATTATTGTTTTCACTATATTTTCTTATATTTCACCAGACTGAAAAAAAATAAATAAATAAATTGTTTGCATTAAACAAATCAAAAGTGGCAAAATTCTAAATACTTACTTGCGCTGAATATAAATGCATTATTTGAGGTTATGTTCGATAAGCAACTGCATGCAATTTCATAATGCGCAGCAAATAAAATTAAATTGCTAAAAATTATTAATATTTAGTAAGTAAAGAGAGAGAGAGCATGAATAATAAAAATGGAAAGAAATGAAAAGAGAAAAATAAAAATTGTTTTTAGAAATTATAATTGTTTGTAGAAATTAACATTAATGGAATTATTTACTATGCTTTGAATGAAAATAAACAATAAGTAACAATGAAATGAATAAGGATATTGTAATAGGTGTAGAGCTCAAGATTTTCCAATATGTAAAAATAAAAATAAAAAATAATAATTTGAGGTTATAAAAAATAATAATTTGAGGTTATAAAAAAT